TATTTTTCAGGTCTCCTTCCCCGGAAACCAGCTGGGGCTGGAGGCCGGCAAGGCTGACATTTATGTACTGTCTTTAATCACAGTAGCTGACGTATTCCAAACAAGGTCTGGAGACACCTTGTTAACGAGGGCCCAGCTGTCTCTCCTGCGGATACCTGTGCTGGCATGGGGAGCCCGCCCCGAGATGTGCTAACTCAGGCCTGGAGCCTGCAGACAGGCCCACCCTGTGGCGTGGCTCACATGCTGCTTCCGCAAGCCCTGCAGAGGTGGGGCCTTGTTGGAGTGGCTGAAATCCGGGCTGGAGGGAGAAGGAAAAATTTGTCCTGAGGTGGGCACAGGATTTTTGCCTCTTGTGGCTCACCTGAACCTCACAACAACCGTTAGTCACATTTCACAGGTGAGGATGCTAACAGTTGTTGAGGGCCTAGTATGTATCTGGGGGGAGTGTGTGGTTCTTTTGTTTTGTTTTAAGACAGGGTCTTGGTCTGTTGCCCAGGCTGGAGTGCAGTGGTGTGATCATAGCTCACTGTAGCCTCTACTTCCTGGGCTCAGCAGAGTTTCTCAACTCAGCCTCCCGAGTAGCTGGGACTACAGGTGTGCGCCATCACACCCAGCTAATTTTCTTACGTTTTGTAAATACAGAGTCCCATTATGTTGCCCAGGCCGGTCTCAAATTGCTGGGCTCAAGCGATGCACTTGCCTCAGCCTCCCGAAGTGCTGGAATTACAGGCGTGAGCCACCGTGCCCAGCCTTGTGTTTCTTTATAACAGCCAGATTTTATTTTGTGCCAGGCAGGTGCTTTACATGCACTAGCTCATGGAATGCTCATAACAATAGTAGCCAATAGGGTTCCATTTTGCAGCCAAGGGTGTAAAAGCTCAGAGTTGAGGCGACTTGCTTGTCAAGGTCATCCAGCTACAAAGTGGCAAAGCAGGAATGAACCTGGTGGGGCACAAGCAAGAAGCCAATGAGGGAACCTGCACAATGCATCTGGCATGGCGCCTGTCATGTCGGAGTGGCTTGGTGCATCATGCTTTGCTTCCTTTGCCTTCTTTTTGCTGGTTGGCTTGTTTACGTCCTCTCTTGCTCCACAGATGCTGTAAGGCAGATTATAGGGAGAAATATGTGATGAGGCAGGGTGCCGTGCCTCACACCTGTAGTCTCAGCACTTTGGGAAGCCAAGGAGCGCAGATTGCTTGAGCCCAGGAGTTTGAGACCAGCCTGGGCAACATGGCAAAATCTCGTCTCTACGAAAAATACAAAAATTAGCCGAGAATGGTAGTGTGCACCTGTGGTCTTAGCTACTTGGGAGGCTGAGGTGGGAAGATCACTTGAGCCTGGGAGGTTGAGGCTGCAGTGAGTCATGATCACACCACTGCACCCCATCCTGGGCAAAAGAGCAAGACCCTGTCTCAAAAAAAAAAAAAAAAAAAGAGAAGATATAAATGAGAAGAATCTGCAAAAGCAATAGGAAAATGTGGTGGGCTAGGCAGGAAGACATAGACAGAAATGAGGATGGAGGCTACAAAGAAATTATGGGCCAGGCATGGTGCCTCATGCCTATAATCCCAGCACTTTGGGAGAACGACGTGGGCAGATCACTTGAGCTCAGGAGTTCGAGACCAGCCTGGTCAACATGGTGAAACCCCATCTCTACTAAAAATACAAAAGTTAGCCAGGTGTGATGGTGTGCACCTGTAATCCCAGCGACTTGGAAGGCTGAGGCAGGTGAATTGCTTGAGCCTGGGAGGTGGAGGTTGCAGTGAGCCAAGATCGCACCACTATAGTCCAGTCTGGGAGTCACAGTGAGACTCTGTCTCAAAAAAAAAAGAAAGAGAGAGAGAGAGAGAGAGAGAGGGAGGGAGAGAGAAAAAGAAAGAACATGTGGTTCCTAAAGCCCTGCACACTCTCTGAGCCCTGGTGGGTCTCTCTGGAGGTTCTTGGGCCTCAGTTGTCCATTGGGTCCTTGCCTCTGAACAGTGGTAGTGACGCCCACATCAGGGGCTGCTGTGAGGATGACATGGGCTAATGTTTGTACAACGGGCACACATGAGGCTCAGTTTGGCTTCTCCCTGCCTGCTTTCCTTTCCTTCCAGATGCCAAACCTTCCCCTGGAAATTATCCCAAGGGCTTAGGAAACATTATTATTATAGGCCCTATCTTTTCAGGCAGGACATAATTTTGACAGCCCTTCCATCTTGCCTTTCTTCATTCTGTTTGGCAGCTATTCACTGGGCATATATTATGTATATCTGTCTCCAGGCCCTATACTCTCTGGAGTCGATCTGTCAATTAATTAATTAACTAATATAGCCATGCTTTCATGCATTCATTTGATAAACATGAATCTTCCAGGCTCTGTGGGCTGTGAGATGTCAGTTTCGGCCTCCTTTGTTCTGCGTAGCTGAGGATTCTGGGTAAGTAGGGTGTAATCGAGAGACTGGGTTACTGCTTTCTCACTGGTCGGTGACCTTGTCATCATTCATTGCCCTTTTCTTGAGGGCATCACCAAGCTTCCCCAGTTCCTAATCAATAGGCTTGGGGTGGGCTCGAGATTATCACAAGCTCCCCTGGTGAGTCTGATGCAAACCCTTCTTTCTGTGGGATAGTCCGAGGCTTAGAGAGGGGTGGCAACTTGTCTGAAGTTGCACAGTAAGTCAGGTCCCGAGACCAGCCTAAAACTGGGAGCTCTTTACTTCCCATCCAGGGTGCCTCCTGCTCTGCCAGGTCCCCTTGCTGCGGGTGTCCCTCCCTGGGTGGGCTGCCGGTTTTCTCGAACAAACACCCCTTTTCTCCTGCATCTGGTCAACAGGGTTGTCTATGAGAATGCCTCCTGGCTATGCACAAAAATCAATGCAGCTTGCAGCTTGCTCTGAAAGGATGGCATGTTTTTGTGTGTGTGTGTTGGGTAGGGGGGTGGTTTAAGGCAGGGCACCTGGTGCCCCATTGTCAGCAGGAGACTAGAAAGTCGAGGGCATGGAGGAGAAACAGGAGGGAGACCACAATGCTCAGCGTTGGGGAAATGGATGATCCACCCTTTGTCCTTTCCTCTGCCTGACCTTGAACTCCCGCATCCTCACCGTCAGAACATCATCACAATGAGCACAATAGCAACAATACCGGTAACATGTTAATTACAGAGCACTTGCTGTCTACCAGCCCCTAGGCTAACCAGTGCCTGTGGGTGACAGAATTCACCTTCATAGCAAATCAAAATGCTGAACCACCGGTCCTAACCCTGGCTACCTAAACTGCGGTCCCGGCTCAGCAGCATCAATGTCTCTCAGCAACTTATTAGAAAAGCAAATTCTCAGGCCTCTATCCCAGACCTACTGAATTCGCATCTGCATTTTGACAAGACCCCAGGTGATTTCTGTGTACATGAAAATTTGGGGAACCCTTGCACCACCATAGCACCCATCACCATAACGACAGCTACTACTTGTGGGGAACTTGCTGCGTGCCAGGGGCTTTGCACACAGGATCCCATTTAATCCTCATCAGCTTTCTGGAGTAGGTCTGATTATTGCCCCCATGTGAAGAAACTGTGACCCAGAGAGGTTAAGTAATTAGCTTGAGAACACACAGCTTGTAAGTGGTAGAGGTGAGATTTGAACCCAGCCTCTCAGAGCCCCCTGGGCTTGTCTTCTTCACTGCATTTCTCATCTTGTGTAGGTGCTGACAGACAAAAAGTCTTCTTCCCATTTTCTCTCCCCATATAGCCACCGGATTCCTGGGGGAGGAAGCTGCATCTACTGCTATTCAAGCTTTCATGTTCATTAGCCCAGCCCCTGGCTGAAGGTGAAGGGCCACCTTGAAATCAATGCAGCGTATTTGAGAGAAGTGCAGATTCCCAGGACCCTCCAGATCTTGTCTAATCTGATGGAATCAGAACCATCAGCACCTCTGGGATAGTGACTGCATGCTAGCAAGTTTCCAGGGGATCTCATTGCCCAGTAAAATTGGAGACCCAGTGCCTCCGATTACACAGAGATTGCAATGCTCATTTTACTGTAAAAGGCAGTGAGACCCAGAGAGTTTTTCTGCCAATGTCCCAAGGTTGGGATCTGGCAGACGAACTTACAGGAAGGAGCACTGGCTTGGGAGTCAGGCAGTGCTGGGCTCAACTTCCTGCTCCTCTTTTCCAAGGTTAGAGCCATATTTGGGTCTAGAGCAGGTTGGCAAACTATAACCCACAGGCTAAATCCGGCCCACAGCCTGTTGGGTGCAGCCTGCTAGCTAAGAACGGTTTTTACATTTTTAAATGGTTGAAAAAAAACAAAAGGAAAATATTTTGTGACACGTGAATATTATGTAAAATTCAAATTTTACTGTTCATAAAGATTTATTGGAACGTAGCCATGCTCACTTATTTATATATTGCTCATGGCTGTTTTCATGTTACAAAAAGAGGGCTGAGTACTTGCAATAGACGCCATATGGCCTGCAAGGCCTAAAATATTTCCTGGTTGCTTACAGAAAAAGGAGGCAACCCCTGGTCTAGAGCAGTGATTCTCAAGCTTGGCTGCATCAAAATCACCTGGGCAGGTGACTGCTGGGCTTCTCCCTCCAATTTTCTGATTCAGTCAGACTGAGATGGGGCCAGAGAATTTGCATTTCTGACAAGTTTCCAGGCAATGCTGATGCTGGGCCACTTTGAGGACACCAGTTTAGAAGGAACCTGGGTCTTCAAACCTGACCTCAGCACCACCCTGGAAGTTCATAGCCCACCCAGAGAGTGGGAAGGCCTGGGGGAGAAGAGAGCAGGGAGGAGTTTCCACGGTCCCGCATAACCACCCATTCCTTTTCCAGGCAGTCCTTGTCTTGGTGTCTGCTCCCCTCTGGTGGCAGCAAGCCTGGAACAGGCCTGACATGTTCAGCCTTGACAGCCCATCCCTCCATTTGGAAACACATTTCAAAGCCTTCAATGGTGCATATCCTTTCACCCGGGGAGTCCACTTCTAGGGGTTTAATCCAAGAAAAGAATCAAGGATCCGTGCCAGGACATCACAGGTGCATTGTTTATTTGTATGGGGGTTAAACAGGAGACCAGGGCAGTCACTTGACGGAAGCCACACAGCTAGTAAGAAACCTAGGCAGGGTTTGAACTCAGGTCTAAGTCAAGAGCCAGTGCCCTCAACTGCCACCTGCACCACCCTTTGGGGATCCTCCTGTCTGCAGTGATAGAGCAGCAGCTCCAGAACTGACTTGCTGGGCGTTGAACCTGGTTCTGTTACTTAACTGATTGCAGAATTCTGGGAAAGTCATTGAACCGCTCTGCCTCCATGTTCTCATCTGTAAAAGGGAAACATGATTGTAAAGGTTACACAGGTTAACCTGAAGTACATAGAGCCATACATGGTGTGAGCTGTGGTTACCACTGCTTATTAAGCCCCCACCTTCCTGCTTCTTTGCCCTTTCCTCTCCTTTCCTCTCTTAACTGACTCAAAGCATTGTGTGTCACTGGGAGGGGCATATTTGTCAGGATCAACAGCGGGTGAAGAAGCCAAGACTCAGCACTGTAGTCAGAAGGTGACATATTTAACAGGGCCTGCCAACGCTGTTCTGAGAACTGCCTCCACCCATTGGGCTCCCTGTACCTCAGTTTCCATATCTGTGAAATGGGCATAGCAATAGTACCTGCCCACCGTGGATTAAACGAGCTAAGACTTATAAAGAACAAAGCCTGAAACAAAGGAGGGGTTGCCTGTAGTCTGGCCACAGTGCACAGGCCTTCAACACATGGATTAAATAGACCTGAATCGAAATCCCAGATCCTCTGCGTGACATGGGCAAATAACATCTCTCCCTGAGTCTCGATATTCTTATCTACAGAATGGGAGCAATATAATGAGGGCAGTGCTTCTCAACAGATGGTCTCCAAAACAGAAGCAACAGGCCGGGCGAGGTGGTTCATGCCTGTAATCTCAGCACTTTGGGAGACTGAGGCAGGAGGAATACTTGAGCCCAGGAGTTTGAGACCAGCTTGGGCAATATGGCAAGACCCCATCTCTATTTAAAAAAACAAACAAACAAATCCAGAAGCAACAGCACCCTATGGGAACTGTTAGAAAATGCAAATTCTAGTAAGCCCTTCTTGTGACTGTGATGCTTGCTGAAGTTTGAGAAGTACCGGATTAGAATTATCTACTCCTCAGCTGATTGGGCTAGGAGTATCCTGATTCTAAACAGGGGCAATTGCATCTCCTGGGAACTGGGGAGTGGAGATGTTAGACTCTGTGTCACTTCCATGAAAGACGGGCTAACTTGGGGGTCCAGAAGTCATTTGGGGGCATCCACTTGCCTTCACAGTTGAGAGGGCAGTTCTGTAGTAAGAGATGCAGAGAATAGAGATCTCAGAGCAAGATTACAGTCCAGGTCTGGGGGCACCCAGGTCTCAACCCTGTGTCCACTGAGACTGAGCAACCGCCTGCTCCTGGGTTCTTCTGATTACTCCCTTTTTTCTCCTAAGTTGGTTTGAAGGGATTTCTGTCACTCGCAAGTAAAAGGGCTCTGGCGTGTTGAGGAATGGGGGTCGGGATCAAGGGGGTGCATGAGGGTCAAGGGTCATAAGCTTGAGGAGAACCACTTCCCTTCCTTTCCGTGCCCAACTGCTAGTCCAGGCAGAAGATTTGAGTCCCACTCCCTCGGAGAAGGGGACCAAGGGGAAAAGGAAGGTGTCTGGGCAGTGATAAAATGGATGAACTACCAGGACTCATCTCAGATCACCTCTGGGTTCCCACGCTGTTCTTGGTCCAGGTTCTTGTAATGAAACCTCACCCATCTCTCCAGAGAGCTGTAGGGGCAACCCTATCCCGACCGGTTGGAAAAGAGCCACGATAAAGGTGAAGGCTGAGCGCAGTGGCTCACATCCATAATCCCAGCACCTTGGGAGGCTGAGGCGGGTAGATTGCTCGAGCCCAGGAGTTCGAGGCCAACCTGGGCAAGATGGCGAAACTCCATCTCTACAAAAAAAAAAAATGCAAAAATTAGCTGGGTGTGGTGGTGCACACCTGTAGTCCTAGCTACTTGAGAGGCTGAAGTGGGAGGATTGCTTGGGCTGTGGAGATCGAGGCTGCAGTGAGCCATGATCACGCCACTGCACTGCATCCTGGGCAATAGAGCAAGACCCTGTCTCAAAAATAAATATAAATAAATAAATGTGAAGAGTCGAGATGCATGCACGTCTGTGTAGAGCAAGGGCTCTTGGATTGTGATGGCCATGGCTAGACACACAGTCAGAGCCTGGATTTCTGGCAGGTTTGGAAGCTCCTGGGAGGGCCCAACAAGGGCACTGTTGTGAGTGTCCTGACTTGGAGGTCTGGTGGAGGACAGGGGGCAGGGTCAGCGTTTACAGGTCAGGGGTCAGAGGAGGGTTGGTCCTGCAAAAGAGCCAGGCGGCCTGATGGCAGCTCCTGAGACAAGCAGGCAGGAGCATGGAGCTCTGACTTCTCAGACAAGCCTGGCTCTGCCTGGGTCTGTGCAGCAGGATAGGGTGCTCTGCGCATGCTCGACACCAGCAGCCAGCTCTGCCTCTGGGTGCGGTGTAGTCTAGCATGGATGGACCCAACTGCAGAGGTTAGAGAATGTGAACTCCTGAGGTCAGATGGGTTCAGGTGAGAGGTCATGGGGCTGCAGAGGGGAGTTGCTGCAGAAGGGGTTTCAACAGATGTGGGTGGCAAGGAGGTGATGAGCTTTGAGGCAAACAGAAGCAGGCTCCAAAACTGGCTGTGTAGCTGTCAGCTGTGTGACCCTGGGCAAATTGCTTGTCCTCTCTGAGTTTTATATTTTCTGTCATGTAGCCACATGAGGATGATACTGTGTTCCTCCTAGGAGTTGTGGTTGGAGATTAAATGAGCTGATGTGCACAAAGCACTAGATACAGTGTAATTCAATTGTGGTGTGACCATTACTATCGTAACTATTAGTATTAGAGTCAAAGGCCAGGCAGTTTGCACTGAAAGGGTTGAGCAGTAGAAAGAAGGGCCGGCTCCCGGAGAAAAGATTCTAGGTCTCGGTTGGACAGTCTGGGGTTAGGGCAGGTCATCAAGGCCAGGCCCCAGGTCCAGGAGATAGAGCAGAAGCTGCACCCAATGAATGGAGTCCTGAGAGACGGGCCAGCCAAATAGGAGGCTGGATTGGTGTCACAGGTGGGAATATCTTAAATTCCTCCCATCTCAGGTCAGGATTGGTTGAGGGTCTTGATGGTGGGGCTAGTAGGAGAGGCTGAGGAGAGCAGGTGCAGAGCTGGGCGGGACTCTGGAGTCCTAGTCCTGTGGTCTCAGTCAATCAGGCAGTGAATCTTTACTGAGTGGCTGCTGTCCATCATGGGCTCTGTGCTGGCTCAGAGATGAGCAGGGTGCGGAGCTACAGCCTAGCTGGGGAGACAGGGTGAGGAGCCAGATGCTGGCTGTGCATGCTTCTGGGTTAGAGCAGGCCAGAAGAGTGAGCGTGCGAGAGCTAGGGTGTTCCTGCTTCAGGGAGGAGGTGTGGCTTGAATGAGGATGGGTAGATGGGCAGAGTGGAAGGCTTCTAGGCAGGGGAACAGGGCGAGGAAAAGCACTGAGAGGGGCTTGTTTAGAAGACAGAAAGGCCCAGTAGAGTGAGGCTGGAAGGCCAGGTTCATGGGCTGGGACTGTATCTGGTGGGCAGTGGGGAGCCACTGAAGGTTTTTGAGCAGGGGAGTGACATTTGCTCTAACTGGATGGCTGAGCTTGTGCTAGGCTGGGAAGACACTGGGAGGAAGGGCATGTGGGGAAAATAAAAAGGGAAAGATTCCTACTCCAAGGTCAGTTAAAGCCTTGGAGGAGGACCCCTTGATCGTTGGTGGGGGTAAGGGGAAGGGACAAGCACAGAGCCCCTCTAGGTGCTGGCCTAGACATGTTGCCTTTAAAAAAGGTCTCAGGCCATCAGTGGGCAGGCCTGCCCTTGAATCCCAGCCCTGCTGTGAGATTGTGGACAATCCCTTCATCCCTTCTGATCCTCAGTTTGCTCTTCTGTAAGCTGGACATGATGCGCCCTCTCTCCCAGGAGGAGTGTGAAGATTAATGAGAGAATCAGGAAAAGGTGTAGGCTACTGCTGGGAGCATAGTTGGTGTTGGACCCCCGCCTCCCACTCTGTGGCTGGCACAGAGCAGCTCATGGACAGAGACTTCATTCATTCATGGTTCATTCATTCATGTAACCAACACTTCTGAGCATGGCATTTCTGGTGTGCCAGGTGCTTGGACACAGAGTTGAATTACACCACTGTCCCTTGGCCTTGAAGAGTTTATTTACTCATTCACTCAGCAACATTCACCAAGCCCCACTGTGTGCATTGGCTGGACAAGGGGTGGTGTTGGGGGTAGAGTAAGCGTTGCTGGAAGGGGGAGCCGGGGTGGGTGTGAAGCAGCCCAAAGGTCAGGCCTCTACATCTGGAAAGAGCAGGAACCCGGAGAAGATGCTGTTGGCACCCTCCATGCCCAGTAGTGAGTTCTTGTCGGTGGCCTGCAGGAAGACGTTCTCCCCCTGCTCCAGCTTGAGGACCATGCCACCGGTGGTGACCTGGAAGGTGTTGTAGGCGTAGTCGCAGAAGGTGACCACCTTCTGTGGGCGCTCCCGGCCACGCATGAGCTTCACACACAGGTTCCCTCGAGAGCTGGCATGGTAGGTGAAGTAGTAGAGGCCGGGCACCCTGCAGGTGAACTTGCCACTGCGGGGCTCGTAGTTGTTGTTCATGTTGGTGATCACGTGGTCGAAGCGGATGGTCTGGTCCCGGCGCAGGGGGGTGTTGATGGTTCTTGTGGCAGAGAAGGCGATTTTCTGGGTGGCCTTGTAGTCTCCCGATTCACCTTTGGGGCCTGGGGCTCCAGGGGCTCCTGGGCCACCTTTAGGGCCCATGGGGCCCTTGGGGCCGACTTTTCCTGGATTCCCAGGAATCCCCGGGTCTCCCTTCTCTCCGAACTCACCATGGTCTCCAGCCAGCCCTGGAAGCCCTGGAAAAGCAGAGACCAAAGAAATGAGATCATTGAGACCAAAAGGAGGCCTGTGCTGGGACGTTGGGCAAGACCCCGCCTCTCTCTCAGCCTCAGCCTCCCATCTGTAAAACAAAGGAGGCAGTGTCAGACAGGGGCTCTGGGTCTCCCTCCAGCCCAGCTTCCTGAGCCTGTGATATGCTTGACTTTCATGGGAGCTGCTGCCCGTGGGGAAGAGAACGGCTCCTTGCTAAGGAAGGTGCTAGGCCGGCCCTCCTCCTCAGCTTGTGTGGGGGTCCTTGTTCAGGCTAGAGCAGGGATAATGAGTGCTGTCCCCCTCTATCCCTCACCCCTGGCGGACAGCCCTAACCAACCATGACTTTCACTCTTGCTGCTCCTGGAAATGGACTTTAGACTCCTTCTCACTCCACCCCCAAGCAGCCACTACCCCTTGGTTTGGCACAACACAAGATAAAACCGATTTTCCTGTAGGGTGGCAGAGAATAGGGCCTGAGAAGATGGGATCTGGGGACAGAGAGATGTGCTTCATGTGTCACATCTGCCATTAGTAGTGGTGTCACCTTGACTGAGTCACATTTCCTGAGGCTCAGCCTCCTCATCTGTCAAATGGGGATGAAGGTATTTTGTGGGATTGTGAGGATTACATGAGATTCAGTGAGGAGAGTGACTGGCACAGAGGGTTGCTCTATAACCATAAGTTAAATGAATGAATAAGCCAAATTTTACAGAGGGGTTTTCACAGTGGGGAGTCTCATCTGAACCCCATGACAACCCCACAAAAGTATCATTGCCCCCATCTTACAGGTGAGGAAGTAGCAATTCAGAGAGGAGAAGTCACTTGCCCAGGAGGTAAGTTTAAACACAGAACTCTGTGGCCGCAGCAGCACTCTCTCTCTACCTGAATTTAATGCAAGAGACCTGTGGTCTGGTCTTAGCCTCAACATTTACTGGGCTACCTTGAGTAAGTCAGTAGCCTTTCTAAATGCTTGCTTTCCTGTCTGTAAAATGGGAATCAGAATTCCCTCCTTGCAAAGTTACTGCAAGGGTTAAGCAAGCTGTTGGATTTGCCAGTGCTTCTGCAGTCTCAAAGGCAGGCAACTGTGACTTGGGAGGCAGAAGACGGGAAACTTGGTCAGTATTACCAATGTGCCTCTAAATCCCATGGTACCTTTCTCTCCTTTTATCCCTGGGGTCCCAGGTTGGCCATCGGAGCCAGGTGTCCCAGGGATACCCGGAGTGCCAGGGATGGCTGGGGGCCCGGTGCAGCTGCCCTGGGCCCAGGAGACATCGAGCAGACCCAGGAGCAGGAGCAACATCAGTACCGGGATGCTGCCCCACAGGATCTTCATCATCATACTGTGTCAGATGTCTCCTGTGGAGGAGAACACAATGTAAGAGGCTACCACCATGGTGATCCTATCATCCATCCATCCATCCATCCATCTCTCTATCCCTCCATCTCTGCATCCATTCATCCATCCATCCATCCCTCTGCCCATCCCTGCATCCACCCATCCATCATCCATCCATCCATCCATCCATCCATCCATCCATCCATCCATCCATCTCTCTATCCCTCCATCCCTGCATCCATCTGTCCATTCATCCATCCAACCATCCATCCATCCCTCCCTCCATCCCGCTGTCCATCCATCCATCCCTCCATCCTTCCATCCCTGCATCCATCTGTCCATTCACCCATCCAACCATCCATCCATCCCTCCCTCCATCCCGCTGTCCATCCATCCATCCCTCCATTCTTCCATCCCTGCATCCCTCTGTCCATTCATCCATCCATTCATCCATCCTTCTGCCCCTGCATCCCTCCATCCCTCTGTCCATCTATCCATCCATTCATTCATCCATCCATCCCTCTATTCCTCCATCTGTCCCTCCATCCATCCATTCCTCCATCCACATGTTCACTGATTGTCCCCTATCTACCAGACCCTGTGAAGGTGCTGGGGATTCAGTGAAGAACAAGACAGATATGGTCCCTGCCCTCATGGTCTTGTGCCCCTAGTGGGGACAGATATAAACAGGTAGATATAAACAGGTCAGCATACAAGTAAATAGAAATAGCGATAGACTGTGATTGGTGCTCTGAAAGAAAGGGAAGGATGCTGGGAGGCAGAGTAACTGAACTGGAGGTGAGAGGTGATGGATTTTGTGAGGAAAGTCCTCCCACCAGGAAAGTCTTCTCCAAGGGGAAGCCACTCTTGGAACTGATGATTAGGCTGAGACCTGAAGGTCCAGAAAAGTGGGGGCAAGAGTGTTCCAGGAGGACAGAAAAGTATGGAGATGGCCCAGAAGTAGGACAGAGGTTGGGATGTTGAGGATCATCAGGAGGCCAGTATGGCAGAGGGGAGCGAGGGTTCAAGTGACAGGAAGCAAGACTGGAGAGGCAACTAGGCTACTGTGAGTTTGAGGGTTTTATTCCCCCAAAGCTCTTATTCAGTAGAGCTTCTGAATTCAGGGTATGATGCTGCTTATGGAGAGGCCACCTTGCATGCTTAGAGCATCCCTGCATCTACTGTGATTCCTACACCAAAGAGGACACTGAGGCTCAGGGAGGCCAAGTCACTTGCTCAAAGTCATACAGGAAGGAATGAAGCCGATGTCCCTGCCAGCATACCAGGCTGTTTCTGCTGGTGGAATATTCTCAGAGCTGTGACTCTGGCAAGAGGGCAATGATGGCTCCTTTTCAATCCCAAAGAACTAGGAAGAAGCTGGTGGGCTGTCTCAAACAGGTCAGCATGGCCTGTGTTCCATGCCATTAAATCTCAGGACAGAGTGGCCTTAAAGTTCATCTAGTTTAACCCTTAGCCTATATATTTTTAATTGAGGCAACATTCCTACAACATAAAATGAACCAGTTTAAAGCAAGCATTTTAGTAGTGTTGAATATATTCACAGTCTTGTGTAATCCTCACTTCCACCTAGTTCCAAGACTTTTCATCACCCCAAAATAAAACTCTATGCCCGTTAAGCAGTTTCTTCTCAATCCTCTTTCCCCCAGCCCCTGACAACCACGAATCTGCTTTCTGTCCCTATGGATTTACCTATTCCTATTATTTCATATAAATGGAATTATACAACATGTGACCTTTTGTGTCTGACTTATTTCATTTAGTGTAATGTTTTCAAGGTTCATCCATGTTGTGGCATGTATCAGTACTTCATTCCTTTTTATAGCTGAATAATACTCCATTGTGTGGATACATGTGATATTGCAAAGTATATATTTGGTCTTCTACCTCTTTCCTGGCAGAGAACTCCTAAAATCCGTAAAATTTCCAAAGTGATGTCTTTCTGTATGCTAATGATTGATTGATGGCTGGCAGGCCCTAGGTAGCTTCAGGATGGGGCTGGTCACCAGGAAGACCAAGGCAAGCTTAGAGGGTCTACCCTCAGCCCCACCCCCCAACCTCTGGGGAGGGGAGTGGGGCTGAAGGTTAAGTTGATTACCAATGGTCAATGGTTTAATCAATCATGCCTACATAATAAAGCCTCCATAAAAATCCCAAAGAACTAGGTTTAGAGAACTTCCAAATAGCTGAACACGAGGAGGTTCCTTGGGGGTGGCGTGCCCAGGCACCTGGGCATGACAGTGGCACGCCCCTTCCCTCATACCTCACCCTGGGCATCTCCTCATCTGCATCCTTTATAGCATTCTTTATAATAAACTGCTAACCGTGTTTCCCTGAGTTCTGTGGGGCACACTAGCAAAGAAACCAAATCCAAGGAGGGGTGTGAGAACCCCAACTTGAAGCTGATTGGTCAGAAGTTCTGGGAGCTTGGACTTGCAACTGGTGTCTGAGAGGGAGCAGTCTTGTGGGACCGAGCTCTCAGCCTGTGGGGACTGATGCTATTTCTAGACAGTATCAGAACCGAGCGGAAAGACAGCCAGCAGATTTGATTGCTTGCTGGTGTGTGGGGAGAAACCCCCACACTTGGTCTCAGAAGTCTTCTGGGTTGACTATCGTGGTGTGAGAGCAGAGGAAAATACAGTCTGTGTCTTTCCACTTACCGACTAGACTACAATTTGGTTTTTGGATTTTTGGTTTTTTTGAGTTGGGGTCTGTCTCACTGTGTTGCCCAGGCTGGTCTCGAACTCTGGAACTCAAGCGATCCTCCTGCCTCAGCCTCCTGAGTAGCTGGGATTACAGGCGTGCACCATCTCGCTTGACTATTTGTTTATCCACTCATCATTGGTGGACATTTGGGAAGTTTCCACCTTTTGGCTACTGTGAAGAGTGCTGCTATGAACATTTGTGAACCAGGACTTGAGTATCTGTTTGTAATTCTTTGGGGTTTATAACTAGAAGAGGAATTACCGCTTATGGCAATTCCATGTTTACGTTCCTGAGGACCCGTCAGCCTATTCTTAAGTTTCCTCAATGACGCCTCTGCCAAGGTCCCCGTGTGGTGCCTCATCGCACTCCCCTGCTGCGCACACGTTGTGTTCACTCAGTCCTAAGAATTAATCACAACTCTAGCTGCACATCACATTATTTCCTTGGAAGAGTCAAGCTGAACTTTCTCAGCAGAGTGTGAGGAAATGACCTCTCTGCCAAGGGCTCGTCCGTCCACGGTTTGCATCATTTCAGTGATGGGCAGCTCATTACCTCTTGAGGCAGCCCATTCCACCTTTGCCCATATCCAAATATTTTTCATCATTCAAGGCTTGGGTCAAAGCCTTCTTCCTCCGGGAAACCTTTCCTCAGAGGCTGAACTGTATCCTTTCTTAAAATGGGGGAGCAAAGTGGTCTCTGCCTATCTCCCAGAGCGGCCAAAGGGACCCAGGCGAGACCCCGGATGGGAAAGAGTCACAAAGCCCTGAGCCCCAAGCTCTCATTGGGACTTGTGGCTGCTACTGCTGCTGCTGCTGTTCTCTGATCCTCACAACACCCTGGGGAAGTGGGTTGTGGTGAATTTCCCATCTTGCAGATGAAGAAACTGAGGATCAGAACCCAGAAAACAACCTACCCCAAATCACCCAGCAAATTTTTTAACAGTAGGGTTGTGGCCAAACCCCTGCCCTCTCTGCCTCATGCTGGCTGTACCAACCTCAGAGTCTGGCATGTGGAGGGCCCCCTGGGACCAGAAAAAGCCAGCTGATATTTGGCTCCTATGCTCGGCAAATCAGCCTCAGCCCCTCAGCCAGGTCCTGATTAATTTCTTGCTCAAAGCCCTGAGTTATGGCGGACTCTGTGCACCAAGGAAAGGAAGCTGTAAAGATGAGCGTGGCCAGGGTCTGCTGGTGACAGCTTTAGGTTCTGTCAGGCTCTATGCTCTGAAGAGAGGGTGGCTCAGGGGCATGGTCCTGCTTGTCCCCGAACAAGCATCAGCTCTCACTCTTGCACTTCTAAAGGTTTTACAATTTGATAACTTTAATAAGTTGGGTACTTATAGGCCAGGCTGTGAGCCAGCTGGTTTACATGCCATTATCTCATGTAATTTGATGCTCAGCCCCTGAGAATGCACTCTTGCTTTCTCATTTTACAGATAAGGAAACGGGATCAGAGAGGGCAAGCACCTTGATAAAAGTCACACAGCTCCTGTGTGGCTGGGAGTCAAACCCACATCCACTGGATCTTAAAACTCAATGTTAGGTTAAGAGGTCACTGTACCTGGTGGTTAAAACATAAACTTTGAGGCCAGACAGCCTGATAAAAGGACTAACGCGTGGGACACGCTAAGAGTAGTGGTAGGCACATGGTCAGTATTCGGTGAAAGTGGCTTTTTACCACCACGATGCTTGCGGCTCTTGTTAGGCAGCACACATTCACCTGGTGGTGGGAGCCTAGGGTGTCATAAGGAAAGCAACACTCAGCATTCACGTAAGGTCTCTACTGCTTCTTAGCTAAGGGACTTGGGAAATCACTCCTCTCTGGTCACAGTTTACCCTCCTATAAAGTGGGGATAATGCTACTCTATCCCTCATAGGGTATGTGAGAGGACATGAGTTACAGCTTCTGACAGATCCTGGCATGTTGGAAATGCTTAATGAATATTAGCTATTTTATTATTGTCACTGTCATCCAAGAATTCCTGAGTGGTTGAACAAAAGGGAAGATGTTTGGAGAAGTAAAAAAAGACAATCCCTTTGAGAGACTGGGCTTAGAGGGAGGGGCTCTGTCAGTTGGAGGCAGCCAGGGGTGGAGAGCTGTGACCAGCTGGTGGGGGGAAGGGTGGAGAGCAGGGTACTGACGGGACTTGGGCTTCTTGGGGAAGCCAGGGGCAGGGGAAGTGGGAAAGTGCTGGTTCTAGTCCATTTCAAATGCCACCGAGTTTCAGGCTTGGGTTAGGGCTTACAACTCACCTGGTTTAACTGCCTCCTGCCTGTGCCAGCCCATGATCATTACCAGCCTGGTTTCTCCTGTCTTCCCCCCAGGCTCTGACCTTTCCGTCTCCTTCGGTCCCCGCAGTCCCTTTCCCCAACGTGGAGTCAGGCCCACTTGACTTTAAAGCCCCATCTGCTACCGGCTGCATAACCTCAGGCAAGTGCCTTAACCTCTCTGAGTCTCTTGGCAACGCTGATTTCAACCTGACAGGGCTGCCGGAAGGATGACAGGAGAAGATGCTTAGAAGAAATAAGGTCCCCCCGCCCCATGCAGTGCCACATCCCACTCCCCCACTGCACAAACATTGCGCTCACTCAGTACTAGCTGAGAACTCATTGTAACTCTACCTGCACGTCCCCTTATTTATTTGGAAGAGTCAAGCTGAGTTTTCTCGGCAGAGTATAAGGGGATAAGCAAGGTGTTGGGGAAATGTTGGGCTGGGCAGGAGTGACTGGGTTCTAATCCCACTCCTGCCTCCGGTTTACTGATAAATTTTGAGCCAGGGCATGCACTAAGCTTTTGCAAGCTTGATCTCCTATAGGGCACAGCAGCCCTGAGAGGTTCTGTTCTCCACAGAGGGGCGGGCTGACAGAGGTTAGGTGACTTGCCCAAGATGACCAACGCATAAGATGCAGAGCCAGTCTCTGTGATGCCAAAGCCCTTATGTGCCAGGCTCCCACTTTAGATGGCCTGCCCATCCGCTGGGCCCTGGGTAGCAGCAGACTCCCCAGCTCACCCCAGAGAGCTGGATCCCATAGATCTGGGATTGGGCCCAGTGACCTGCACTGTTAAACAGCCCAGCTGGCTCCAAGGCAGGCGACGCAAAGCTCACACTTACGGAATCACCACTTTCCGCCATATTGGCCCTGCCAGCCTCCCCCAGGTGCCAAGCCCCGTCCTCACCTGGGAAGCCGGCGTCCTGTGATGCCGCTGGGCTGAGCAGCAGTGGGACCAGGAGCCGGGAGCCTGCTGCCCTCGGTCCGAAGCGGAAGTTCCCTTCCCCAGACGAGGGAAGGGCTTTCCCCTGACGGTCCCCTCCCACGGCCCAGCAGGCTGGCCCCTTTCCCATCCTCCCACTGTCCCCCCACCCTGCTGCCCTCAGGCAGTTTCAGGTCCCATTTCCGCAACCCACCGGATTTACTGTAAATGAGATGGGTGGGTGGCAAGTTTGGCTTTGCCGACTCAGCATCTGTGGGGAGAACACGCCGTCCTGGGGGAACGTCCGCAGCTCACCCTCCCAGGCTCTCTGACCTCGTGATCTTCTTCTTCACTGGGCAGGGGTGTTCCTCAGTGAGCATCATGTGGCTGGCCCGGTGCCTGAGCGCTGGCTTAGAATCAGAGACTTTGATTCCCATCTCGGCTCTGCCACTTGCCAGCTTACGTGTTCTCAGTCAAGGGAGCCCCAAGGGAGCCCCAATTTTCTCTGCTATAGGATGGGACCATAATCATACCTGCTCTACAGATACAGATCTCACAGGCTGCTGGGAGGATAATGGAGGAAATGACTGGGGAGGAACTGTCCGGGGGTAAACTGTAAAGCGCTGTGCACATGTTCATTGTTAATATCACTTCATGTCCCAGGCTTCCCCTTTCTGGGCTCATGTCTTCTGCTTCCTTCCCATTCTGTGCCCCTGCTCTTTCCCTGTTCTCAGAAAATAATCTCATAATGAATTTTAAATGTGTTCATTATTTATTGATACCCCTCCCTCTGCTTCCAGCAGGGCTTGAAGCTGATGACAATAATAGGCGCAGGCAGGAGCCTGTCGCTTCTTCTCAATCCTGGAGTCACACCAAGTTAGGGCCGGAGAGGGGCTGAGGTCACTCGGCTCGTCCTCCTCATTTTATATACGGGGAAACTGAGGCTCAGAAGGGAGAGCCATCATTTAATGAATATTTAGTGTTCGCCTCCATGTGCTAGGCACTGAAGAGAGAGCTCTTAGCAAATCAGCCATGGTCCCTGTCCCCATGGGGCTTCCCTTCTACGGAGGGGAGACCGGTATTAAACATGGAATGACATGAGGCTTCATTGCTTCTGTGATAAATGTCACAGAAAGAGTGACTGCTGGGGCCGACGCCTCATGGAAGTGGCAGATACAGGCCTGGAAGCCGCATCCCTGGCACTAGGTTATCAGTCTCTCCCTGTGGCTGCCTCTCAGACGCCATGATGACCAGCAAGCACCAGGAGCTGGAGGGCCCTCTTGACAACTGTGCTTGGAGACGGAAATTCACTGGGCTTGTGGGTGTGGCTTGGTGGAAATTAAGTGTTAACTGCGGTGGGTGAACAGGAGGGAAAGGTAAGTTTGACAAAACCAAAAGGTCTCTGAGCTCAGTCAACTATAGTCCCAAAAGGACCCAGGCTAGGGTGAAGAGAAGAAGCAGCTTCTCCACAAAGGGAGAAACGATTTAGTCGGTTGCAAGTTGAGGAGTTCTGAGCATTCCCAAAGCCGAGTGGCCCTGGGCCTCTAATTCTCTCTCTCTCTTTTTATTTTTTTTCCTTGAGAGGGAGTCTCAGTCTATTGCTCAGACTGGAGTGCAGTGGTGTGATCTCGGCTCACTGGAGTCCCTGCCTCCCGAATTCAAGCAATTCTCCTGCCTCAGCCTCCCAAGTAGCTGGGACTACAGGTGCATGCCACCACGCACAGCTAATTTTTGTATTTTTTAAAGTAGAGACAGGGTTTCACCATGTTGGTCAGGCTGGTCTCAAACTCCTGACCTCAAGTGATCTGCCTGCCTCGGCCTCCCAAAGTGTTGAGATTATAGGCTTGAGCCACTGTGCCCGACCTCTGGGCGTCTAATTCTTAGGTGGCTGATGGCAATGGGAAAAGATGGATGTGAATTTCGGGTAGAAGCAGTGAGGCTAAGAACAGGAAGCAGCAGAGGTGGGTTAGGAGCATGGACTTGGGCAGTTTGAACCCCAGCTCTGTGTCTTGCTAACTATGTGGCCTCAGGAATGTTTGCTGGCCTCGGTTTCCTCGTGTAGAAATGGGAGGCATGAATGCCTATCTCCTGGGGCTGTTTTGGGGGCCAGCGAAGTCACCCTGCCATGTCCAAGGCCAGCTGAGTGCCCAGCCCTTGGTGGGCACCCACTGCAAACGTGGGAACGGTATTACTTATATGAAGAGAAGATGGAATTCTTGGAACCCAGGAGCAAAGAAGCCAGGCCTGGATTAAGAGGAGGCCTGGACTTGGGGATCAGGAGCTGAGGGGCCCACTGATGCGAGCCAGCTGGTCTCTGTACCCACAAAATTTTGGACTTGCCTCTCTGATTGAGAGTGGAAAATCCCTGATCTCTGCAAAGACTAGAAAAAGAAACCTATACCCCTCACCTGCCTGTGGTTGGAAAGGGGTTCCTTGCAGCTTGGGGTGTCTTGTCCTGGCTCCTGCTCCATGTCCACCCCTCCTTGCCTGCCCCACTGAAACTCTCCCCCGCCTCCTCTTGGCAAAGCAGACAAGCTGGCGTTTTCAAAGGCTTGCCTCCCCTGACGAAGAGAGAACAACAAGGAAACAATTATGGAAAATAAAAATGGCACAGAAATTGTCATTTCCAAAGTACAGGTTTCTGATCTGACACTGTGACCTACATAAACAGTGTATTGATTTTTTAAACAAAAGAGAAATGAGAAGAAAGATGTATCACTTACGGCTTCGCCCGGCGGATGGCTCAGAGGTTGGTGGAGGAGAACAGTGGATGCCGTGGCCGTGGCCTTTACGCCATCCCCGCCAGGGGCACTGGACTCAGTGAACCGCCCGGGTTCCTCCGTCCCTGCCTGCTGCTCTCCCTCTGTGTATTTCTGTATGTGTATGTGTGTGTATATGTGTGCATGTATATGTGTGTATGTGTATGTATGTGTGTATGCATCTGTGTGTATAGCTGTGTGTACATGTGCATGAGTGTCTATGTGTATATGTGTGTCTCTGTGTGTGTCTGTGAATGTGTGTGGATGTGTGGATGTCTATATGTGTGTGTCAATGTGTGTGCATGTATATGCATGTGTGTATGTATGTGCATGTATATGCGTATATGTGTATGTGTGTTTCTGTGTGTATGCATATATCTATGTGTTGCGTGGATACTGTATGCATGTATATGTGTGTGTATGTGTATATATGTGTATGTGTGTGTATGTGTATACATGTATGTATGTGTATATCTGTGTATATAGGTGTATTTTTATATGTGCATATGTGTGGATGTCTGTGCATGTGTCTGTGTATATATGTGTATAAATATGTGTATGTGTATGCATATATGTGTGTATGTCTGTGCATGTGCCTATATATGTGTGTATGTACATATGTGTGTATGTCTGCATATGTGTGTAATTTGTATGTGTATATATGTGTTTGTGTGTATGTGTTTGTATGCATATATGTGTATGTATGTATGTGTTTGTATGGTTTGTGTGTATGCATATGTGTGTATGTCTGTACATGTGTCTTTATATGCATGTGTATATATGCATATATGTGTGTGTGCATGTGTGTGTGTGTCTTTCTCTCCCTCCTTCCCATCTTACACACTTTTCATGCTCCTGTCGTGTGCCAGGTGTGTATGGAAGGGGCCATCCCCCATGATTCTTACAGTCTAGAGGGGAGGCAGACCTGTAAGTGACTAAGTGCACAAAAGCCAGTTGGTTGGCTGTGTGCATCAGATTTCCCTGCAAACCGCCAACTCATTTACAGCCTGGTCTTCCCCAGACCTTTATAACACAGCCCGGAGTTGAGAAATCTGGTTTTGCTTGTTTTATTTTGTTTTAAGTAAGTCTTTAGGTTAATTTTATTCACCACCTGATTTGGGAACCTGGGCTCTAAGGAGTCATGAATTTGTGCCCAAATTTGTGGAGGGCACTGTGGGGACCCTAGGGGTAAATCGGAGAAGGCTTCGTGGAGGAGGTGATGTTTGTGTTGACTCCTGACAGTTGAGTGAATATTATCCAGGTGGATGGATGATTTGCAGGAGTGGGAGGGACTTCATGGGCAAAGGCAGGGAGTTGTGACACAGCCCCTTTCCCAAACAGAGGAGCCAAAGTGAATGGAGGTGGTTGTAGAACTCAGCTTGAGCCACTGCTCTTCACAGCCCATGCCTCAGTTGGCTGGTGCTTCCATGACTCCGTGGGGCTTTGTGGAACCAAGCTGTGATCACAGCCAGGACAGGCCAGGTTCTCCCAGGCTAGAGTGAGCCTCGAGTCTGACTGGGTGCTGAGAATTGGACCAGGAGTCTGCATAGGAAAGTTAGACTTTTGATCTTTTTGTACCTGAAACATCAAATTGTGGGCTTCCATCATCCTCCAAGAAGCACTATCGTGGCTGGGTCCAACCACCAACAACCTCACAGTCCAAACTTGATGGCTGGTGGGCAGCAGTGGCTTGAGATCTCCCGGGAGTCCCAGAGTCTGTGAGTTATTTGGGGCAATTCAGACATCTGGGGGGCCAATTCTCTCTCTCTCTCTCTCTCCCCCTCATGCCCATCTCAGAGCATGATTATGAATATTGAATGAGTTAATATGTGTAAAGTGCTTAGAGAAATGACTGGCATATACTAGGTGCTCAGTAAATGTTAGTTATTATGATTTTATTCATTCATTCATTTACTCTGCTTTTAGTTGTTCACTTACCCACTTATGCATTCATTCATTCACACCAATTTCTTATTCATTCAGCACAAATTCATTGCACACATCTTGTCTTTGTCTGTACTGGGCTTACCCAAGCCCAGTTCCCTCCCATGGTAAATGCTCCTGAAGTTCAGCACAGGCCCGGGAAGTCAAACTGATTCCCATTTACCTGTGACCTTGGATACCTTTAATAATGGCAGTGCCTCTCCCACCAAAAAAAAAAGTGAGAGTGGATGACCCCTTGGGGACCTCTGGCAGCGTGTAACCACACTTAGAACATCTCTCTCCCACCAGGCCAAATGGCGCTGAGTCCCAACACTGGCAGCCAAGCTTTCCTGAGCACCAACCAGATACCTTGAGCCCAGAGCCCATGGACCGCTATGGCTGATGCAAAGTCGAAGATCTGAAGTTCAAAGAATCAGCAATGAGGAATCTGAGCCAGGCATATGTATTGATTTCATGATTTATTTATATATCTCCCCACCCCTTCCAATACTTGAAAACAAAACAAAACAAAAAAAGAATGGCAGTACCAGAAGGCATTGGTTACGTGTCACAGGAACCACACAAGCAGTGACTCCTAAAGAAGTTCAGAGGAAGGAGA